CAGAAGGTCTTTGATGGACATATGATATATGGAAAGTGGCAAGGGAGGGAAAGGGAAGAGGCAGGGCAGGGCAGAACAGGCAAGCAAGCAGAAAGAAAACAGGCAGGGCAGGAAAAAATGAAAGGGGAGGAGAGGAGACGAGAGGAAAGAACAGAGCAAAGGAAGTAAAAGGGAAGGAATGGACATGACAAGATAGAATTGCCACAGGCAGTTGCGTGTACTCAGCAGGACGCCGTCTACACAACAGCTTTTGCATTTGTACCCTTGCTACGAAGCAGCCATTCTACGCAGCGCAAGGCAAGTTGTGTGCTCAGCAAGGCCACAGGCAGCTGTGCCTGCCTAGCAGGACCTTTCTGCGCCGGCAACAGCTTTTGCGCTTGTGGAGTGCCTGGTGCTTGGTTGCAGAGCATCCCTTGTACACACCAATGAAAAAGTTTGATGCGCCGCTGTGCCACAGGCAGTTGCATGTAGCTAGAAGCACATTTCAGTGCAGGCAACGGCTTTTGCACTTGTGGTGCGCCTCCTGCCCTTGTTGCGAAGCACTCTTTCTTCACCATAGAATTGTTGATGCGTAGCAATGCCAGAGGCATGTGCATGTACTTTGCAGGGTGTTGCACCTGGGTGTCTCTTGTTGAAGCATTTTTGTTATTCACCGCGAAACATTCCTAGCGGGACGTTTTTGCAGCCGCAACAGCTTTTGCACGAGTCACTAGTAGTGTCCGCTACGAAGCAGCGCTTCCGCACAGCGCAAAACATGCACAGCAAGGCCGCAGCCAGTTGCACGTGCCTGGCAAGACGTGTCTGCTCCGGCAACACCTTTTGCGCTTGTGTTGTGCCTTGTGGCTCCCTTGCAAAGCTTTCAGTGTACCGCACAAAACGCGTTGTATGCGCAGAAAGACGACAGGCAGCTGCGCACACCGAACGCAGGATGTTTGCGTGCTGTTGCACTTGTAGTGTGCTTTCTTTCCTGTTACAACTCATTCTTTCTACGCAGTCGTTTTTTGTAGGGGCGGCAGCGTGGCCAGTGTTTGTACGTACCTAGCCAAACACGCGCGCCGGGAACGACATTTGCGCAGTTGTGATGCGCTTTCCTTTTGCTCCAACAAGTTCCTGCTGCAGTTCCTGCTCCCAACTCTCTTTGCGCTTCACAAGTGGGTTGGGGTTGAATTTGCGACGCGTGGTTGGAGTTTTTGAAAAGCTCAAGTTTCTGTAATCACGAAAGCTAGCACCAGCTAGCTGGAGTTGTCCTTGCTTTAGCAAGTGAGGGGCTGGAATCCTCGGGATCGCCGCATCACGTGAAAACTTCATATGTAGGGGGGGCCCCCCCCCCCCGTGGGTTCAACTCCCCCCTCGGACGCCTCTGGGACACCTCTCGGGCATCTCTTATGGCATCCACTTTGGCTTAACTCCTCCGCAATACGGTGCAACAGATTCAACAAGCTCACATGTTCATGACATCGACATCGATAGAAGAAACCAAACAAATCATGCAAGCAGCTTTGTCTCCTCCGTGGAGGTTTTGGGATACGGTGCAACAGATTCAACAAGCTCACAGGTTCGTGAACACATCGGATGCATCGAACAGTGTGGCAAAGTCCAGCCACGCTTCCTTAATTATCGGGGACTTCAATTCTAAGGTTGGCTGTGCCATTGCTGTTTGTGTGTCTTACATGTTCACAACGTTTTACCTCATGAGCATTTGCCTCACTCCGCTTGATGTCCCACCAGTCCGGATGCACCCCTGCTAGCTTTCGTCACCTACCCTCGGCCTCAAGTTAAGTTGCTACCTGCTGTTGGGTTGCAAAGCTGGGTTAATTTTAGGAAGTATCTTACTACTAGCGCATCCACTTGCTTCTGAGCAACCTGAAGCAGACAACTAACTGAAACAAATACAAACCAATTAGAAACTGCAGCAACCTTGTGGGCGTACCAGAACGTAATGGGAACAACAAAGCAAATTGTTTGCAAACATTGAAATGTGCCTATAAGCAAACGCCTTTCGCCTTCTCAAACAAGATGCAGAATATTTGGTTTTGATTCATGAGAACAACGAAATGGTGTTGAATAAAATTTCTTAAACAATGTGAGCGTGTTGATAGTCTTCGAAGGCAACCGCCAGGTCACAAAATGTTTCTTGGAAGCAGCAAGTCCTCGTACAAAGTACGAACACTGAGTGTAGTATGAGGACACATTTTTTGTAATTTCCGAGCGCCTGTGAAATATGAAATTTCTTTAGAATAGATCCACAGATAGAATAGATTAGAATATATAGTCTCCTGGAAACTTGTGGCAACAAGGGATTCATATTGGGATGGGACGCTTTTGTGCTCTGAAACTTTCTTCTTTAATGATACAAAACTATACGTATTTGCGGTGAGGCTTATATATGCCTGAAAGGATGGGTTTACAAAGATCCTATACTGATCCGGGGGTGGTAGAGAGCTCGTCCCACATTAACTTTGTTTGCCCTTTTTGCTGCTCGTATTGCATGTAGTGGTGTAAAAACGGTCTAAACTCCCAGTGAAAACAGGCGCAAAACCATAAAACCATATTCATGGTTCAAGTGTGATTGTGGTGGGCACTTCGCCCTTAGTTTTCAGGGATGGCAGCACTCTTCAAGACTGTGCTTGGAGGTATTGTTTCCTTCAACCTACTTTGCATGAAACACACGCAAACACTGTATACAAGCGCGCACTTGTTGAATTGTGGACGCTATTAGTTTGCATTAAGAACAGGCTCCTACGAACTGTGAGCTTGATGACAGGCTTTGCGCGCGCTACAAGCCCTGCATTTTCTTCCCAAAAAGTGCGTTTCTCACAATAGGAACCTTTTCCTAGTATTACTGCACCTTGGTACTGCGTGACATCCCCATCCCCATTCCTTACATAAGTTCAAGCCAGCTCGAAGTTGTGCGGGTGTGGCTTTTACGCGTTTTTGTGGTTTTTTAGATTTTTGGCATGTTTTGAACGAGTTTCCACCACGGTTGCGGTCTATCCATATTGTGTTGCTGTCCAGGGCATTTGCTCAATGGCTTGTATAGCAATACAGTTTGCTCAAAGTCAGGATCCCAATCTCTCACGCCCAGGTGTTGCATCTACGCAGCCGCCTTTGGTCCCAAATGAAATTGCGGACATACAGCCACAAGCCCAATGCCAGCTGTTTGATGCGCCCGGAAGTTCCATTTTCCTATGCTCTCTAGCTATATGCCCATCTCTCTCTCTCTCTCTCTCTCATTGGATACCATAAGCCAGCAAATCAAGACACTCCCACACTCCACCATTGAGACCATACAGTATCCACCCTCGCCACATAGAGCCTGAATCACCCATTCCTTCTCCATGTTCTGATATGCAATGATCCAATTGGCGTGGCACTGATCTGTCAGATCTCTCATCAAGCTTTTGCAAAAATACTAGCTCTCATGATTCCCACACAGAAGTCTATCAGCCATCATCTATCAGCAAGTCCAGGACATCACGTCATACATCATCAGGTAATCACCTCTATGAGGGGGATCTGGTCTTCAAGACCTCCAATCTCAATCCTTGTTGACCTTGGAGGGGGGGGGATGTTGATGAGTCCTCAATCTCCAGCGACTGGGCCTGGGCCTGGGCTTCTCCCAGGGGGGGGGCGCCAAAAAATATTGCTCGTGGGATAGGTTAAATAAGATCAAATTGTGTACAAACCACGAGCATAACGGACCGGAAACTGTGTCCCGATCCGTTCCTTCCCTCTTTCGTTTCTTTTGTGCATTCATGGCCTCAACAAACGCAATCCCCAAAAAACTTCCTGGCTCTCATCAGAATACAAGTCGACATTTTGCTAGACACATTCTTCAAAACAATCAACATTTTCAATAATGCAGAACTACCACAAGCCACAAAAAACGCATTAAAAACACACCTGTATAACTTCATTTTCTGTGTAAATAGATAATATATGCCTGTTTTAGATGCATGTACACTATACTACACACATATACATAACATAACATAATCTAGCCTAACATGACATGACGTAGCCTAACGTAGCGCAACGTAACATAATTTAACGTAACACATCGGAACATACACGCATCTATCCATACATATTATTCGTTGTAACTGTGTTTGAACCTCCACTCTGCCATGCAACTTCCCACCCATACAAAGGTTCTGTATTATGCTTTGTTTTTGTCCATCGGCTTTCCATCGCTCTCTCTCTCTCTCTCTCTCTGCGTCTCTGCGTGTCTATCTCTTGTTTTCGCCAACGGCGTTGTTTGTGACCCAGAGAAAAGATCGACGATCGTTGGTGGGGGTGGGGGGTGGGTGGGTGGGGGGCTAATAGCAGCTAGCATTCATTTCTAGTAGCTTTCGAGGGTGTGCGCGCGTCTGGCGTGAGGTTTTGGGGCGCGCAAATCTTGGTCCAATGTGGCCCAAAAAATTGGGTATTGCGCATGCCAATGTGGTCCACACGAGGACCATTCAGTTTGTAAAAAAAATTTCTCGGCCCCAAAAAGGCCAAACCAAAGGCAGTGGCACTCAAATGCTCGATGGGCAATGGAAGCTTTTAAAGAAGTACATCCCATCGACGCTTCGTAAAAAGAAAACTCATGCCTGCAACGATCGGGTGATGAGCTATGTGATGTCTTAAATGTGGTGGGCCAACCAGAAAAATGATCTCTGGAAGGCCGTCGGAGCTCTGTGTCGCAAAGCCATGGAGTGAAAAACACCCTACACGGAAACGACGAAACTTGAAACCACAGAGTGACTGGAGAGAGCGAAAATGTACTCTGCTAAAGCAATCTCAACATGAAATAGTTAAAACAACAGGGCTTGGAACAGTTTTCCACAAAACATGTATTTGAAAATTTAAAAAAACCAAGGGCCACTAACCACGCCTTAGCTACCACCCGGGAAAAAAGGTGAATTCCAGGTGAAGCTGCAGCGGGATTATATAGTTTAGGCTTGGCGGTGTGTTAATGAAAGCAGCGGAACTAGGATAGTTGAATGCTTTGCAGGATGGCTGGTTTCTAAAGCTGGGGATGATCATGACTGTGCAACAGAGAAACACAGTTGTTCGCAGAAGAACTGCTAGGGCACGATGGGACTGGATGGATGGTACAGTGGTACAAGTTTCTCTTGTGGAAGGATTGCATTGTCCTCATGCGCTCTTGGTGTGTTTGCTGGCTTGGCCTCCACAGGCTTCTCGCTTAGATGTGCAAAGATAAACACGCTACACATGTGTTTTTTCTACAGATCACAATGAGGTGAGGCAGGCAGAGTGGAAAAGTGCTGTTGCAAATCTGCAAGATCATTGTGTGTTTCTCCAGGTTTACGAATGCCCCATTGGCAAGATTCACCTTTGTTTGGCTTTTGCGGAGGCCGCAGGTCTTCTCGAATTTCTCGGCGATCGGTGTGGCCTCTTAAAGTTGACGAGTGTGCTGTTTTTGCTCAGCAAAGATGATGTTGATGATGTGCTTCGAGAAGCTGCTTCACAGCTGCTTGCTAAGGGAGAACTTGGTGGAGCCTTGGCTGCCCCTTGGCGGCAATCTATGCGAATTCAAGTCTTAAGGCATGTAATTTTTGAGTGGCCAAGTTGAAAGCTAAAGGGGGAATGGACACCAAGGGACAACGGGTTGATAAGTGACGGATTCGGACCTGTGCAAATTCTTCCTTTCATAGCTCAGGAATTTGGCAGAGGGTCTGTTTCTTTCATGTTTATTTATGAAGTCGGTCTGTTCATACAACAATGATAGTATAGTATCCCTGTTTGTTCTTTTCACTCGTCTTTTTCTCTTTCTCCCTTTCTTTGGGCAATTTTTCTTTTTTCCATACGCCCATTCATTGGTCCACCTCTTGTCCAAAAACCTCTGAGGTCAGAGAAGACGAGAATCTCGACCAAGCGGAGGCTGTGGCGGAGATGGTCCCCAAGATCAGCGCTCTGCAGAATCAGGCACCTGATTGAAATCCCTTTGCAACTGAAGTGATTGAAGAAAGGCGGATGACGGAACAACAGAATGTACTGGTATTGTAGTTTCTATTTTTTCGAGCTCGGCTTTGGTGTACCTAGGTACCTAGATGTTTTTGGCTGTCTTGCAGGCAGAGCTGCTGCGTTCAGGGGAGCTTCGTCAGGTCATCGAAACGATGAAGCTTGGAACACCCAGACTCTTCGGCCAGTTCAGTCAGCCGGAGGTATTTGAGGGTGTTCAATGGGTATTCCGGGGGCATTCACTGAGTCAAAAGTTCAATTTGCAATGAACACACAGCCTTGTGCACATATACCTCATCTTTGAAGAGATCCTTCGTGAATGAACTCACCAAAGAAAAAAACCCAGGTTCCTCCTTAATTTTGCTGGTAACGAGCACCCTGTTCTCGCAGCGGCTGGGCAGTTCTCTACCAGGAAACGTCAAACAGCGATGTCGCTCCCCATGATGCTGTCAAACATGGAAAAATGCCCATGAATGGCAAGAAGTACAGTAACAGGGGGGACCAAAATCCGAAACACAAGCACTCCAAGCCAATCATTTGGACCACAACTCCGATTGCACCTGGTTCTTGGTTTTCAGCAAATGGATTGTAACAGAACCGATCAGGACCAATGATTTGGACAGACACCACCTGGCAGCTGTGAAAGAAAACTACAAGAATGAACATGCAGAGATGCTCCACCAAGACTAGACATCCCAAGGCAAGGACAAGAGGAGTGGCAGTTGCACAAAGAGATCCATTGTTGTATGTTTTAACAAACAACAAGACACACTACAAAGCACTTCTGGGAAGCCAGAAAATTTGTGCTCCTCAACCGATTGCAGGATGCCTAGGGTCCTAGAGACCGAGAGAGCACAAAATGACACTGTTCAGTCTTGGATAACTTGAACTCAGCCTTGAAGAGATTGACGAGCGATAAAACAACCAGGCCAACCTTCGCCAAACTTGGTGGATTCAGAAGTTCTCTCCAATGCCCATTTGGTGGGAGTTGCCACAAGTTGCAGACACGTTTCTTGACTCAGCGTTTCTTTAGTCAGCTCCATTAAATATGGGAGAGATGAAATTTCGCTCCACTAGATTCACTTCTCCGAACACATTTTGCAACATTCACGAGGTTGCCAGACCATGCAGAAGTCAAAAGAAGCGGAGTTAGTTTGGTTACGTGCAACGCTGATGATATCCTTGTTGCTTCGGTTGGAAGGGTTTGTCCATAGGACTTATATAAGGCCAGAAATTAGGTGAAGAAGGTGCCACGAAGCCATTCCACTGCTCCGTAAGAATTTCCTTTAGAGAGCCGAGCGTAAGCAAGCCAAAAGAAACACGCAGCTCCAAACAAAGTTTAATACTACCTCAAATCTCAAAACAACATTACTTATAACACAGTATCGGGATACATCAATCAAACAATCTACTTGCAGAATTGCGAAGGGTCAGGGCCCTACACCAAATGGAAGTGCAACAAACTCATGAAAAGGCTGGATGGTTGGTTTTACAGTACTCCTTGCAATGGCCCTTTTGTTTTGGGTTCACCCTTTGACTTTGTACGAACATGCAAAGGAACTTTTTACTGAACAGGAACATTGGTATGAGGTAGAAGCCCCTTTTGGAAATTTAGAAATAAGAACTTCTGAGTTACCCTTGGTCCAAACTGCTGGGTTGCATTCCTAGCCTTTCTCTGATGCTTATGGTGCTACATTGCATGAACAGTATCCTGATGCAAAAGTCGTTTTCGGACAGCAAGTGCAGCGCCAATTTAATTTTGACCAGGGCCTCAGCGTGACGACTGTGCCTTGTTGGTTGGAGCACTAATGCTGCAGATGATTCTGCTTTTGCGCATTTCTGGCTTAGATGTCACAAGTCATGACCAACAACTCAGCATGAAGATTCTTATTGCAAGATGCATGCACATGCTTGGTGCCCAGGTCCCTTCGCAAATCCGAGTTAGGTAACGTCATCAGTGAGGCGTAGTGTGCACTGAGGAGCATTTCATGAACTCCACTCTTATACCACTTTCAAGCAGAGCTGACCTACATTGAAGATGGAATGGAATGAAGATTGAAAGCATTGGTGTGTGAGTACTCCTTGCCAGTTAGTCGACAACATTTTCAGATTATTTCTTGGAGGTAGACGAGTTGCTCTCGGCACTTATTGATGCCATTCAAGGCTCGACTTGCACTCCTCCATCTGTTTGTTTCAAAGCCTTTGCTGCTTGAACTCCTTACACTTGCTGTGATGCTTTTCAAGCTCAAATTCTGCAAGCTGAGACCATGTGATGTTTCTTGTGCGTGATGCTGCCGTGTCGATACAAGGAAAACACATGCCATTCGTGCTATGTATGTGGTGCAGGTCTCCGTGACTCAGCCTTGAGCAGTGACGAGATCAGGTACCACTTGACATTGGCAGCGAAGGGAATTTGATGGAGGGATCATTTTTGCTGAAGTTTTGTTCATGCTTTAGCACCGAAACTAGACTTTAGACCCATGTGTTATAGTACAAAGTCGACAGCAAACAGCTTGGTCGAGTCAATGGTGACATCCACCAATCAGCCAACGAGCCAGACATTGTCTTTTTTTGCGGTCGAGAGACGCGAGACGCACAGGAATCAATTGGAAAGCATGGAGCTCGTGAAGGCCAGAGCCTTTCAGAGCATGGATGTTCTCAGGTCTCTTTTTGCCAGTGGGTAGGAGTTGCTATTGGAAAGCGATGGTCCTTCAAAGAAGCTTACTTTTTTTAGTTGCGGGAGAAGCAGCCCAGCAAGAAATAGTCAAGCAGCTGGAAAGACCCCACACATTTTCATTGCAAGATCGAGGCTAAGACGAAGGTGGAGAAGCAAAAGCGTCCTGTGCTCAACCATTCAACCTGTGCAATGAAGCAGCAGTTTGCAAATCAGTGTGCACCACTTCTGCATGCCTAGACTGCTTTGTATCACTTGAGTGACACTTGCACGTTCCTGCACAGTGGAAGAACTTTGCACTATAGCTGTGAGCTTTTTTTGGGAAATCAGCTGAATATATGTGTATATATATACATTGTGATTCTGACCAAAAGGGAACCTTCCCTAAACCTCCAACAACCTA